GGGCATACATAAAAAAAATGCCAAGTGGTGATCATTGGTGATAACAAAAATAAAGCCGATTATATGGGGTTAGAAAGTAATGGCAGTTGCTACTTTAGATAGGGAATTCACCAAAGGCCTCTCTGAAGTGACATTTAAATAAAGTCCCTGAGGGGAGAAACAAGGGAGAAAGCCATGTGTATGTCTAGGGAAAAGAGCATTCTAGGGAAATCTATCCCAAGGGCAAGAGCATCGAGGGAGGAGGAGTGTTTGATGCATTCAAACAGTAGCTGAGAAGAGAGCCTAACTGGCCCAGGATGAAAAGGGAAGTGAAGTGGGTTAAGTACTCATAGAACTAAAGGACCTCATGGAACATGCCTGTGACTACAGGTGATTTTTTTGGCATTCTCTGCATTTTTTTCTCTGATGATTATCCTTTTCTAGTGATGGCACCTGTAGGTTGCTTTGTGGGGCCACTTCTCCCCTGTCCCAGTGCCAAGGTTTGGTAAGAATCACCCACTGTTTCAACTCCAAGCTTGGACTCTGATTAACTAAAGAGAATCAACCTCTCCCAATCAGTCTTGGTTCAAAGATGGCCATAAAACTCAGTCTGAACCTCTGAGATGAAAGAAGAGATACTCTGCAGCTCCTTAGCTACTAAAGTGCTCTCCTTGGCAGGACCTACCCAAAGGAGAATGCTGTGAGGCTGTGATGACCAGCTACCAGAGCTATTTTGCTGTTGCAGAAGGAGCGCCTGGAGCAGATGTAGAGCCATGTAGAGCCTGATGATGATGCCAACACCAGTCAAAGCAGAGCAGAGACAGAAAGAAATCAGACCCTTGATTCTGACACATGAATTGGATCAAACCATGACCAGAGTTCTTGCTGCTGGAAGACTTTTCAGTTACAGAAACACAATCTCTGTTCTCTAGACCAAGCTGGCTTCCCTCTCCCTTCAATATAGTTAGTGCTAACTAGGAATCTACTATTGATTTTTCCCCCTTAGTAACAAGGAGGTTAAACTTTCAGCCATTTTTCTGTTATCTTGAGTGATAGGTCTTTGAGATGAATGTTTGAGGAGATCAGTGAACTTCTGAGGTGACCATTATTCCCCCCTGATTTTTCCTTCATCAGCAGCCATGCTGTAGCCCTGCTCCTCCCTCTTGCACAGACTCCACAGTGCTAACATTCAAAACTGGGGCTATACTTCATTTTTGTGAAATATTACTGTAGATCTGAGACCATACCCTGTTTGGAGGGGTCTAAGATCTTTTGTATTTGTCTTTATGGGTGTTCATAGCATTTGTTCGATCTGTCATTTGAGGGTTTTTTAAATCACTTTTGGAAAATTTCTGACATAATTGCTTCAAATATTGCATTAACTCTATTCTTTAACTCCTGTCCTTCTGTACCTTTAATATATGTGTGCTAGATATTGACACCATTTCCTATATGTTGCATAAACACCTTTTTTGTATATTCCATCCTCTTTTCTCATTCATGCTTCAATCTGGATATTTCCTACTGAACTATATTCCACTTCATCAATTTCTCTTCAGCCACACCCAATCTTCTGTGAAACTCATCTATTGAGATTTTAAAATTTAGTTTTTAGTTTTTGTGGTTTTCAGTTCTAGATATTCCATTTGATTCCAATTATTTGTTGGAAATTCTCCATCGTATCTATTTTCTTAAGCATATTAATTACAGTTATTTGAAAATCCATGTCCTGTTTTGTGTCATTCCTGATCATTTCTAATTAAATGCTGAACATTTTGTATAAATAATTCTAGAGATTTTATATGATGTTAACTTCTTCTACAAAAGGGTCTTCCTTCCCTGGCTGTTTTGGTAGTTCATTTTGAATTCTAAGTGATAGCATTCAAAGAGATACTATTTTGTATTTTATCTAGTCTTCAATCTTGCCATGAGGTTTGGTCTGCTGTAAACTAGTCCATTCTAGTCCTTAGTCTAAGTCACAGATATTTAGTATTTATGTTATAATCATATATATATTAAAAAACTAGTTCATAAGATTTTTGTTATCCCAAATGAGAAAAGTTTATATAAGGCAGCATACATGAAAAGTGAATCATTTTAATCTGGTTATCATAGAATCTTTGAGTGAAAATGGACCCCAGGGATGAGAAAATTCACATTTCTATACACCCAAAATGAGTATTCATCTTTAATTTCTTATAAAACACTGTATTTCCTTTCATAACATACCCGTGGGGCTAGAGAACAGGCCAATAAAACTGCCTACTTAGTGCCTAAGAGCATTTAATCATTATAGCTGTAGCAATACAGAAATGCAAACATACCAAGACATTAACTTTCTCAGTGAGCAATAGGCTATCACAATAGTGTAACAACAGCACCACCACAATCCTGATGCTCCATAGAGTGCGGTTGTCAGACTCACAAACACCTATAAGATCAGTAGTCAGGTTTTCACTTCTTTCTTTTTTTGTGTGTCCATTTTAGAGAGGAGAAAAATGAATCAGAGAGAAAACACAAGTGTTTCAACATAAGCTGGTTACCTAGTTGCAAAAGTGAGACTTAAACCCATATTTTAAAACATATTTCTAAGCCATATGTTATGGGCTGATGGGTCCCACACAAATTCATAAGTTGAATTTGTACCTTAGAACCTTAGAACATTTAAAGAGGAGAATTTAGTTGAGGCAATTAAATGAGGCTATCAATCTGACTGGTGTCTTTATAAAGAGGAAGGTTGGACATAGAAAGAGCCACCAGGGATGTGTGCACACAGAGAAAAGGCCACGTTGAGGACACAGCGAGAAGGTGGCCATCTGCAAGCCAAGGGGAGAGGCCTCAGGAGAAGCCAAACCTGCTGACACTGTGATTTTGACCTTTCAGCCTCCAGAACTGTGAGAAAATAAATTCCTGTTGTTTATTTAAGCCACCCAGTCTGTGATATTTTGTTATGGCGGCCCTAGCAAACTGGTGTACTACATTACCATTGGAGATTAGAAAAAGATAGTGTTTGGTGTAAACATTCATTATCATTTTGTTATGTGTACTTGTTTTGTCTTTTCAACAAAACTGTGGGTTCTTTAAAGTTACAGACTACATCATGAAAACTCAAACCCTAAATTGATATTACCCTACTGTCTCTTAATGTATCCCTTCTATCTCTTTTCTGTATTGCCTGGGCTGGGAATCTATAATGGCATTTCCCACCACTCACTGGCTTTGCTCACTTGGCTTCAGTGAATTCAGGCTAATTTCCAGGATTGGGAAATACTTGGAGGGAGATTAGAATGTGGGCAGAGAAGAAGTACTCTCTTCTTGTTTTTGGAGTTGGTCAGTACCCATCCAGCATCAGGGAAGACCTCCTGCTGTAATGTTTTTTAACATTCTCAATACTAGTCCTGTGTAAAAACTCAGAAGTCAGATGAAAAGGCGCAAGACATCCCTTCAGTGGTGTCAGCACTGACCACATGCTTGCCTGCCACAGATCTAGGCATCACCATGTTCATAAAGGACTGAGCCTCAAACTGTGTGGAGCTCCAAGAACAAGGTACACAGCACTTCCTCCAATATCCTTACTCCAGCTACTTGGCATATTCTTGGAGATGCTAGAACCAGCTGTGTATAGCACGAGCTCCTAGACACTGCTGCGGCATGTTTCTTCAGCCCTAAGTATAGTAGCTACTTCCCACAATTAGGACTCTCTGGGGTACCTCACCATCGTGGGTTAAAGTGTGTCCCTCAGCACAGGTGCTGCTGGTATCTGTTAATGTGACCTTACTTGGAAACAAAGTCTTTTTATAAGTTACAAGTTAAGATAATGTCATTCTGGGTTAGGGTGATCCCTAAAGCGAATGAACAGTGATGTGTTTTATATGAAAAAGGAGCAGGGGATTTTGATAAACACGAAAGAGACAGGGTGAAGAAGTCCATGTAAAAATAGAGGCAGAGATTGGAGCTGTGCAACTATAAACCAAGGAAGGCCTGGGGCCACCAGAAGCTGGAAAAAGCAAAGGAGTCTTTCCTAGAGCCTTCAGGAGCAAGACCCTACTGACACCTAGATTTCAGACTGCTAGTCTCCAGAACTGTGAGACAATAAATTTCTGTTATTTTAAGCCACCCAGTTTGTGGCACTTTGTTATAGCAGCTCTAAGATGAATCTTCTCACCTCCCTCCTTTTGCTCTGATACTTACATAACCCATCCCCTAGCCCGTTATAAGCTCTCTTTGTTTGAAATACCTATTAAGGTTTCTGTTTTTCTGCTGGCACGCAAACACCACCCTCCCGGCAAACTCCTAGTACTTTGTATTTCAATCGAAAGGGTAATCAGTAAACGACTGATGGATATAGTAAATAAATAAATTGCAACAGTACATTAATACCGATGCATATTTCTTAACTTGTCATATTTAAAACTTGCTAATTACTGAATATTTTGTCAATTCATCTTTATAATTTCATTGACAAAATATCTGAGAAATCTTCCTGTGTCAGGCTAGCCATGTTGTTTTACAGCTACGTAATTTTATCAAATGGATGTACTGTAATACAATTAAATGGTCCCTGAAGGATTTTTTCATTGTCCATTTTGAAAAAATTTACAAAATAATTAATTTATTAAACACACACACACACACATATATATATACATTTTAGAGAGGTTTTTTTTTTTTTTTGATAGCAGGATAAGGACCTAGCTATGGAATTCTTAGATCTGGGGAACTGTGCAACTAAATTTTAATTCATAATATCAGTTTCTTCAAAAGTGTGCTGTATTCATCTTGAAGGGCTATCACTAAAGAATGTTTCATGATATAATTATCTTGGAGAATGATTCAACTGGCCTAAAAGAATAGTCATTAAGGCAATTCTCACTCTGATTTTTTTCTTCATTGGTGAGTCATTTACATATATGGGAGCAATGAAATTAAACCCAGTAAGCAGACCATGGAGCAAAGCAGCAGCATCAACAGTAGCTCTGGGAAATGGGAGGTCTTTTGAGGGAGAAAATAGCCAAACTCACCTGGAGGCAAATCAGATGACAAGTCAGAGGAAGCTCTGCTCAACATCTTCACAAAATTCTGCCATCTGTGCAAGGAAAGGAAACATAATATTGATGATCAATATAGGAAGCTCTGGAAGAATGTGCAATAAAGCTAAAAGTTTATACTGATAGTGACATTGAAGAAGCTCTTTGATGCCTGTGTCATTCGGGGTACAATGCAGGGAACAAGCTACTTTGGGTGTCTCTAATAGAAAGGACTATCATATAAGAAATTAGGTGCTCACAAAATTATTGCAGGGGCTGGTAGAATGGAGCTTGGTGTTTACTGCTAGACTCAGAGTCAGGCCTCAGCAGAGGTAGTGTGGAGACCAGGGAACTGAAGGAAATCCTGGCTAATGTCTCAGTTGCCCCTGACCATGAGGTTGGCAACAGACAGTACAAAGCACATTTTTACCGCTGGAAAAATATGCCTGCCAGGATATGAAGTTGCTACTACTGCAGGAAAAAAAAGACTTATCACACCCCTGTCTTCATTCCCCACCCTTTCTGTCTTTCAAAGTTCATGCAATTTCATCTCTGTGATGGAACTTAAGTCAATTCCAGAACCTTGGTGTCAAGGGAGTTTTAGATTGGTTCTTTTTACCCTTCCCAAGTATGTTAAGTATTGCAACACAGGAAAGAACATAGAAGGGGATATAAACGGGTGCTAAATAGACAATATTTAGTGAAGTCCCCAAGCAGAAATTACCTTGAGCAATATGTGTGCATGTGACAATCAGGGAGTCATTTAAAGCTTACAAGTGCTTTAGGAATGCTTTGGTAGTAAAAATCACTTTTATTTGCTTTCCCAGCATCCATCCTACAATTATATATAAATATGTTCTTCTCTGAGATAATGGCCTCCAATCAATGTCCTTTACCGATCTCTAGCCAATGTCATGACTCACCTCATCTAATTAGTCTCAATCTATTTATCACTTTCTGTGTCCACCTCTCCTTCCTTCCCTCCCTCTCTCCCACTCTCTGTGTCTCTGCATCTCTCATTTATTTGTGGTTCTGGTTCTCCTTGAAGTTCCATTTTCCCTTATTTTGTAACTCCACACAAAATATCCTTTCAAGATATCCTTTTAAAACACTTCTTTTTGTTTATGTAACAAATGGCAGTTCTGTTGCTGGCAAACAAACACAACTGGTGTCTCCTTCCCCACCAGAAGTCAAGCAAATATAAAGAATTGTGAGATATATGTCCTGGATTTTCAAGAAGTGTTCTAATGTCATGTGATTTTGTTCTTTTTAAATAAGTGACTCATTAGATATATATAACTAGTATTTTCTATGTATACTTCATAAAAATCTTCCTGTACATGGTAACAGAATCAGAAAAATGGCCTCCAGATCTTCATGTCACTCTGGGCACAAGAATAGACAAAGCATATGTGTCCAGAACCACAAGCCAGGTAGGCTGGTGACTATATCAGGTGTTGAAGGGCTAGGCAGGGAAAAGAAAGTTGGAGAAGTAGCATTCTCAGTAAATATTAATAATAATACAAAGATCTGATATTAGCACAGAACTGGAAATGAGCTGCAATAGAAGTATCTCCTGCCTTCTACATTTCCTGAAGTTCCCTCCCCTTAGGAAGGCCAGGCTTTTGCTTACAGCATCTTCTGACCCTTTGAAAAACAACAACAATGTGACCACAAAAACTCCAATTCATTGATATTTCCACATTGTAAAACATTTATTTTTTAGAGCTATTAAGAGTTACCAAATATGAGTTAAAGCCTCTGGACAAAATGGCACCAGGATCTCTCTTGTCCCTTCTTGAATACTGCTCATAGAAGGGAGAGGAGATTGAGTATCCAGCAAGGACACTGACTGATTTAAATGGTGTATAGGACTTACATGACCAATGAATCCTTAAGATCCTTCTAATAAAGTATTTCCTTTCTTCCATATCCTTTACATTACCTTAGGACCTTCAAAGAGCCATTGACAACTTAAATGTGAGATGTGTTCTGGTCCCCATAACAGGCACCGTAATGTCAGTCACAGAAGCAGGTGCAAACTTCCAAAGCTGAGTCAGAGAGGCCATGACTGGAGGACAAGAGCTGAGAGCTTGATTCTAGATTCAGGCTGATCAAAATTCTAATTCTAACTTCAGCTGACTTTATTAAGTTAAAATGGCTTTTAGTGGGCATTCGGAGTCCTTGTGTACATTGTCTCATTTAACTGAGGCAACCATCCTAGGAGACATGTAAATGATGTGCCCAAGGACATAATGACTGACAGGGCAGCCCTGATTTAAACCCTGGCAGTCTGACTCCAAATCCTATATCCTTAACCTTGTACTACATGGCCTTACAATGAATGTAACATAACTTGATTTCAGTTATATATTTTTCCCTATGGAATTCCATGAATATGGCCCCATGTCTTCTGATATTTATTATTGCAGAAGTTTGAGGTCAGACTGATTTGGATCCATTTATAATTTTTTTGCTTTGTTTTTGTTTTATTTCACTTTTGGCCTGGACACTTAAATAATTTTATTTGTCTCTGTAACAGAAAAGTTTTGTCAGGATAGTCCTGGATACATTTTTTCTTAATTCAGCTTAGATTACCGTGATCCCTTTCAATTTGTACACAAAGGTTATATTTTTTAATTTTTTCCCATTCTGCAAAGTTTTTCAGTTGTGACTTTAGTTTTTACTTTTGTCCAATTTTTCTAGCTTCTTACTCCTCAATACCAAGGCCTCTTTGGTCCAACCTCTACCCTTATTTTATTGTATCTACTATCCTCTTTCATTTTCTTCTCTGTTCTTTTTCTCTAGATTTTCTGGAAACTTCTCAAGTTGACATTCTGTATTAGATTTTCTGTAGTGTTAATTTTCCTTTTTTATGGATTTCTGGTTACCTCTTTTTTTGTGAATAATATATTACTGGAACACAGCCAACACTTGTTATATGTTATTTATGGCTGATTTCAGGCTGTAGTGACATAGCTGAGTAGTTGCAACAGGGTGTAGACCTACAAAGGCTAAAACATTTACTATCTGGCCCTTCATAGGAAAGGATTATTGACCTAAAAACTCTACATAAATATCTTAGGATCATCAAGTATCTAGCAATAGCCAAATTTCTTTGATTGTCTCATACTTTTTCATTGAGATGTAATTTATATATAACATTAGTTTCAGATGTACAACATAATGATTCAATATATGTATATATTGCAAAATGATCGCAATAAGTCTAGTTAACACCATCACCACACATAGTTGTAATCCTGATTACTTCTTAATTCTGCTGTAGATGTTTCGGTTTCCTTGAAACTGTCCATAGTTCACCAAGTTCTTTCCAATTTCTTCTGTTCACTTTAGTGACTTTTAAATTTCTTTTTAATAGCCTTTTAATCTAATTATGCTTATTACTTTCCAGTTCATTTCAACAGAGGACAGGGCTTCTTATATCCTATAGAGAATGTCAATGGTTTTCAAAATGTTTTCTAGTTTCTATAGTAAGTCATCTTCAGAAACATGTTGTTATTTGGAGTCTGTAGGGTTCTGATTCTCTTTCCATGTTCTGCAGTATTTTTAAAAATTAGGCCTCCTGTATTGGGATTTTCTCTTTACCCAGTGTCAGGTGAGAAACTCTTCCCATTCAGCACAACCCAACAGATGAGATGTGTAGATTTCCCTTGGCTCATTTAGCCCTGCGGTTGAGGGGTTGAGTGACAACTCCCACCAATGCCTGGTGCCCCTCAAGTGGGACAACCTCAGAGGTGGCATCTTCTCATCACGCCTGTTGGATATCAGACACTAAGTTGGTGTAGTAGTCGTAATCAATACACTCCTCGGCATATACGATTACCAGGGATCTCCTCCTGTCTGCTCCAACCTACACAACTTTATTTTTAGGAATTATGCTGCACCAGATGGAAACACCACCACCAGCGTTTCCCCTTCTTGCCTTCCTCACCCTCCCTTTCTGCTTTGTCATTCCTGGGAGTTGTGCTGTCTGCATAGGTACAGAAAAGCAGTATGTGGGTGAGTGTACATGTGTGTCATGAGTGGGGGAAGGAGCGGGTGGATGGTACTCAGGTGGCTGCAGAAAGAGGCACCTGCATTATCTTCTGGTTGGTTAAGACATGGGACCTCCACCTTAGGGGGAAAGCTGTGGCGAGGGGACAAAATACCTTCTGTGTTCTGCACTACTTACGGGTAGGCAGGGTAACACTTGGGTGTTAACTCATTGATATTCCCAGATTACATTTATTTATAGTTAGTGGACATTCCTTTTAGAATCTGACACTAGAGTGCCTATTAGTTTTTGATAGCATTATGGGTTTTGCCTCTTTATTTGTTCATTTAATTTTAATTTTAATCACAGGCTTTTAAGCAGGTGACATTTTATATAAAAAGTCTCATATATCAAAACAAATCAAAACAAAAGCAAAACAAAAATACACGAAACACACATAATGTGGGCTATCTCATAAAAACACCCTGGTAATCTTGATGAAGTTAATGACAGGGGACATATTTCTCTATAAGCTTCATGCAGGCTTAAATCAAAGGTGTGCTGGGCCTTAATTCCCAAGCCCATTACCTTCTTCCACCTTGTGAAATGCATGCTCCAGCCATAAGGAGCAGTGGACTTGCTATGCTTTTGTTTGCTTTTTTTGTCTTGGAACATACTGGTCCTTTTCTCTCTTAAACACTATTCTCCATCTATCATGTGATTAATTCCTACAGATCCTACCAAACTCATTGGAGACACAGTATGGAATAGTGCTAAAGAGCCAGCTCTGTTCAGACTGCTAGAACCATAGGTTATGTCCCATGGTTTGAGGAGTTTAATCAATGTAGCTTTTCCCTTGAGAATCCTGTAATATTCTACTCCAGCTGAACGGATACAAAATATGCTAGAAGAAGGAGGTAGAAAGGAGAATACGAGGAGACTGTTATCCTTTAGGGGGCTGTATAGTTTGCTCGGGTCTGCTGTTACAAAGTACCACGGATCGGGTGGTTTAATCAACAGTAATTTCTCGCAATTCTGTAGGCTAGCAGTGCAAGATCAAGG